GGAGGAGGAGGAGGAGGAGGAGGAGGAGGAGGAGGAGGAGAGGAGGAGTGTGTGGTGTGGGTGGGTGGGGTGGGGGTGGAGGAGGAGGAGGTGGAGGAGGAGGAGGAGGAGGAGGAGGAGGAGGAGGAGGAGGAGCTCATGGCCGTGGTCTTGAGGCGGCCATGGTGTCAGGCGTCGTGGCTGGAGGCTACGCGACGCAGCAGTGCCTTTTTGTGGGACGCCGTGTCCTGAGTCCGCTTTGCAAGTGGTGCGGCGGGTCCGCTGATACCCCAAAGCACAGGTTTTTCGACTGTGACGGCAGCCGTGCTGTTCCAGAACACCTTGACCTTGACGATTTCCTGGCCCTGGGTCGTGAAAGAGGTGATGAAGATCCTGGCACGACCAGGGCGTTGTTTCCCAGTCCTGAATGGAGGTGGCCCACCCCCCGTGTGGATGCCAGCTTCCAGTGGATGGTCTACCCCCCCTCGGGGACCCTGGGCACTGGCATGATCTGCCTGGATGGATCTGCGGTGGACCCCGACAGTGACTTGTTCGCTCGTGCGGGGTGGGGGGCTGTGGCTGTCGATATAGGGGGAAACGTTATTGGGTCGATATATGGTCATCTTCCCCACCCGCTCCAATGGGCGGGAGGGGGGGAGGTGTATTCGTTTCTCATGGCTCTTAGGCGCCTAGGGGCGTGTGAAACGGAGTTCATGACGGACTGCAAGATGGTCCTGGATGTGTGGGCCTTGGGGCCAGACCAGGACCTCACCAATGTGGCGTTCAGCGAGATCTGGTGCGATATTTTTGCCAGGGCTCGGGATGTGGGGCTGCATAACATCCGCGTGAGTAATATTAAGAGTCACCTTTCTCGGGGCCAGGCTCTGGATCGGGGGGTCCTGTACTGGGCCTGGGCTGGGAACCGAGAAGCTGACCGTCTTGCGCGGTTAGGTGCCGAGTTGCAGCCCCACAACCCTGAAATGCGGAGGCTTTTGCATGTCCAGGAAGCGCTCGTGGCCCAGGGGGTGTGCCTCATTCACGAGACGATGAGGCACCTTTCCAAGCTCGGCCTCCCAGATGTTGAGAAGGTCCAAGCGAGGATCAAGCGCAGGCCGAATTACCTCGAGTTGGTGCCAGAGGCTCTTGGACACCAGCTGAGCCGAGTGGATAAAAAGGGCAAATATCGGTGTGCACGGTGCGGAGAGGCAGGTAGTAGGATTGGAATCTGCAAGGTGCCGTGCCGTGGCGTGCCGAGGGTCGCCCGCTCGGCCCACTCCTCCCACCGTCTGTATTTGGGGGGAGGCCGTATCGTGTGGTGCGCGCGGTGCGGCGCGTTCGGGGCCCAGCGTTCGCAGTTTTTGCGTGCGGCGTGTTTGGGCCGCCCTCGTAATAAAGATGCCCTTCAGAGCTTGAGGAAGCTCCGCCGAGGCGTCGATCCATCCTCGGGCCGGGAATTCGGTCGGTCCGAGCCGCTCTCCAGTGTGTGCTGAGAGTGTGGGGGGAGCGGGGGGCCGCACTGTCGCCGTCGTCGTGTCCTGCCCATCTTCCACCACGGCAGCGGCAAGTACGGTCAGGCGCGCGCACCCGCTCTCTTATCCCTTTATCATATGATCACATGTTTCACGCTTGCGCGAGGGATGTGATCATGTTCGCAGAAGGTCGCAGAAGGAGGAGGAGGAGGATGATGATGAGGAGGAGGAGGATGGGGAGGAGGAGGAGGAAGAGGAGGAAGAGGAGGAGGAGGAGGAGGGAGGGAGGAGGGAGGTGGGGGGAGGAGGAGGTAGGAGGAGGAGGATGATGATGAGGAGGAGGAGGAGAGGAGGAGGAGGAGGAGGAGGATGAGGAGAGGGAGAGGAGGAGGAGGCGGAGGAGGATGAGGAGGAGGAGGAGGAGGAGACGCAGAGGAGTTGGAGGAGGAGGAGGAGGAGGAGGAGGAAAAGGAGGAGGAGGAGGAGGAGGAGGAGGAGGAGGAGGAGGAGGAGGGGGAGGAGGAGGAGGAGGAGGAGCAGGAGAGGGAGGACGAGGCGGAGGAGGAGGAGGAGTATGCGGAGGAGGAGCAGGAGAAGGAGGAGGAGAAGCAGGAGGAGGAGGATGACGAAGAGGAAGGGGAAGTTGAGTGCGAAGAGGATTCGGATCAGCATGAGGATGGGGATAATGATGGTGATGATGACGATGCTGATGATGATGATGTTGATGCTGATGATGACGGTGATGATGACGCTGCTGATAATGGCGATGCTGATGGTGCTGATGATGCTGATGGTGCTGGTACTGATGTTGATGTTGAGGCTGCTGTTGGCGATGCTGATGATGATCATGCTGATGCTGATTTTGCTGATGCTGATGCTGCTGCCACTGCTGCTGATAATGGTGGTGATGATGATGCTGATAATTAGGTTGATGCGGAGGATGATGATGATGCTGCTGCTGATGATGATGATGATGATGATGATGATGATGATGATGATGATGATGATGATGATGATGATGATATGATGATGCTGATGCTGATGGTGCTGCTGCTGCTGATGATGATGCTGATGCGGATGCTGCTGATGATGGTGATGATGATGATGAGGAGGAGGAGGAGGAGGAGGAGGAGGAGGAGGAGGGGAAGGGAAGGAGGAGGGGAGGAGGAGGAGGAGGAGGAAAAAAGGGGGGGGGGAGGACGAGGAGGAAGAGGAGGAGGAGGAGGAGCAGGAGGAGGAGGGGAACACGAGGAGGAGGAGGAGGAGGAGGAGGAGGGGGAAGTGGAGGAGGAGGAGGAGGATAATGAGGAGGCGGAGGAGGAGGAGGAGGAGGAGGAGGAGGAGGAGGAGGGGGAGGAGGAGGAGAAGGAGGAGGAGGAGGAGGAGGAGGAGGAGGAGGAGGAGGAGGAGTTGGAGGAGGAGGAGGAGGAGGAGGAGCAGGGAGAGAAGAGGAGGAGGAGGATTTCCTCCTTTCTCGCCGTCTCCTCCGCCAAGCTGTCCTCGTTGGTCCTTGTACTCAGCGATGCTATCATTGCCGATGTTGCACTCTTCCGGAACTGTTTTAGCGTCCTCCTCCTCGTAGAAGTCCAGCTGCTTCATTTGTCAGCTTTACGCCGGAATCCTCTCCATCTTCCTCGCTTTCCTTGTCGCCATTCCCGATATCGCTGGTGACCGACGTGTGGTAGGGCTCAACAACCCTGCTAGCCGTGGAGGAGTATTCATAAGAACACTCCGCAGGATACGGTCTGCAGTCCTTCCGTCCACAACCCACATCTGGCGTGCAACAATGGTCGAACATCACTTCCTCCCGTCCGCCTTCGAGGCACCCTTCTCCTTCACCTGGTTGTTCATGCACCTGAGGCGTTTCTTCGTCTCCAGCAGCCGCCTGGCCAGCTTCCTCTTGAGGGTGATGGCCTTCAGCTGCTCGGTGGGCTCGTTCTTCTTGATCAGCTCGTCCTTCACCGTCACCTCCTCCAAGTGCTCCTCCATGGGATGCTCCTGGGCGATACCCTTCGTGAGGATGATGCCCCAATGCTCCAACGCGTACTGGGCAGCCTTCTCCCGGAGGTAGTCGAGTTCAGGGGAAGGAGAAGGAGGAGGATGAGGAGGAGGAAAAATTGGACCAGGAGGAGGAGGAGGAGGAGGAGGAGGAGGAGGAGGAGGAGGAGGAGGAGGAGGGATGTGGAGGAGGAGGAGGATTTGGAGGAGGGGGAGGAGGAGGAGGAGGAGGAGGAGGGAAGGAGGAGGAGGAGGAGGAGAAGGAGGAGGAGGAGGAGGGAGGTGGCTTCTTCCTTTTATGGGCGGTGAACCGCTTCGCTGCGGCAGCCAACAGCCAGCGTGGCAGCAGCAGCAGCAGCCACACCTGCAGTCGGTGAGGAGGGCGCAGGACCAGCGGAAACTGAACGAACAACCTCAGTCTCGTGATGAGTTGCGAGCTGGACTAGAGGCCCAGACGACGGACGCCGTGGGAGGGCCCACGGCTGGACGCCGCGCAAACTAGGAGGAGGAGCTGGAGCTGCAGGAACACCCCACCAAGGCGCTGCGCACCGCTGCTACGGGCCCGCGGGCTGGAAGCCAGCCTCCGCCATCCCCGCTCGCTGCTCCAGTAGCCCTTCTTGGTGGCATCGCGCCCCATTTCTCAGCGACCTCTGGGCGTTGGGGGCCTCGCAGGTCTAGGAGGCGGCGAGTGGGCGCTCGCGCTCGCTGGAGCTTTGCGGGAAGAGGGCGGCGCAGGTTGCTGCCTGCCGCGGGCGAGAGGACCGCCGCGGCCAGCGCGGGGGCGCGGGAGCCTCGGGAGGCCTGAGGTCGGCCGCAAGCAGCGCCCGAGCGCCCTGGAAAGTGTTCGGGGAGATGGGTCGAGGGGCACGATGCGCGACCCCCCCCCCACAGCATTGTCCTCGGCATTGTCCTCCGCCTCCTCCGTAGCCATTTCTAGCTCAGGGGGGGGCACGGTTTTGAAATCCATTCTCGTCCTTTTCACCGCTTCGTTCTTTGAAGGCGGCCGCAATTCCCGCGACGGGGCCGCACCTGCTTATCTACGAGCTGCATGGGACACATCTCAGGAGCCTGTCGCATATCCCGAGCAGCCATGTGGCAGGCCTCGCTCAAGCTGCCGGACGACTCTGGCGGCAGGGGCTACCGTGGGGTGCCCGTGCGCTACATCACGGGCGCTTCTTGCTCGCTCATCTTTTGTCTTTGCAGTGCTCGCAGACATTCAAGCTCGCGGGCCCCATGGTGCACAGATGCAGGGTCAGCTACCTCAGGATGAGCTTCACGGCGCCGTGCAGTCGTGACGGACAATCGCATTATCAGCTGCACCCCCAAGGCGGTGTTCAACAGGATGGTGCCAAGTATTTGCACGGCAGATTGCAGAGTGGTTTCACGCCTGTGTTCATAAGCCTGCTGGTGTTCTGCCAAGCCAGGGTGTTCTTCAATCTCCCGGGCGGCACCGCAGTGCGACCCGCAGCAACGACATCGAGCATTCCGCCGATACCACGAACGCCAGCTACAATAAGGACGACTTCTACTCCACGGAGCCGGACACCACCGACGACGAGGCCACCGACGTCAAGTCGCTGCCGCCATACGCCAGGGAGTGCCACGGAACCCCATGTCGGCTTGCATTATGGTGCACGCTTTTGCTTTCATAAGCCTAGTATTGTTCAGCTGCACAAGTGTGTTCTGCAGTCTCCGCAGCAGCTCTGCGGCCGCCCCGCAGCAGCTCTGCGGCCGCCCCGCAGCAATGTCATCGATAACACCCTCGATACAACAGCTCCAGCGAGGACTCGACGGGGTCGGGCTCTGCCTACGCCGAGCCCAGGTCTTCGACCTCAACATGCTGCCGCTTCACAGCAACGATTGCGCCGCCCAGCCGCATGGCGAAGAGCATTGTGGTGCACATGCGTGTGTTCATACGCCTCGTGGTGAGCGCCAGGGTGTTCTGCAGTTGCCAGGAGAGAACCGCGGTCAGACCAGCAGCGACGTCGTCGAGGGTACCTCCAATACCAAGTGCGAGGACACCAACGAGGACGCCTTCTCTTCCACGGCTTTGGATGCTGCCTTCAAGGGGCCCGTCGACTTCAACTTGTTGCCACCCTTTTACCAGAAATGGCTTGGGCAGAGAGTCTCGTTCACCATCCTCGCGGGCCTCACGAACCAGAGCTACAACGGGAAGGGAGGCGCGGCGCTAGGCCCAACTCCTGACAGCCAGCGAGTCATGGTCAAGCTTGCAGAGACTAACCAGGTTATCAACGTGAAGCTGGCCAACAGGAAGAAATATCTCTCCAGCGCCAGTTGGGACCGTTGCTCGACACGTTACGCGTTCATCGACCTGCAAGACATCCCGCGCTGTAAGTGCTCTTCATCCTGTGTGCGGCAGCAGTGCAGTCTGAATGCCAGATTACATGTCCACCCTTCCTCTTCCTCTTCCTCCTCCTCCTCCTCCTCATCCTTCCCATTGTCTTATGGCCTGCGCTGTGTGCCATGTTGGGGGTCTGCTGGTGGCGGAAGTGGCAATTGGGTTTCGTTGCCCCGCGGGAGGCCGAACGTGAACCCTAACGCTACCCAGCTGGAGCCCAGCCTCTCCCTTGGCCGATGCTCCAGCGTTGGCCTGAGGTCGACGGCGCTCAGACGAACCTTCACAGGGACGTCGTCGTCTCCTCCTCCTCCTCCACCTCCTCCTCCTCCTCCTCCTCCTCCTCCTCCTCCTCCTCCTCCTCCCCGTCCTCTTCTATTCCCGCACCTCGAGTCGTGTCGGTAGGACGGGCCGGGCGTTTCGCTTGAGACTCCCTCACCATGTATGGTCCTCAAGCTTGGAACTTGCAGCAGTTTCACGGATGGATGAAGGACCGTTTTCCAAATGAGGCTCTCGCCTCAGCGTCGCGCACATTCTTTTTACCCCAGGGCTTCACGGGTTGGGGACGGGCCGTTCTCGAACTGTCGCTCTCGCCTGAGCGGGTCGTTTTCAGAAGGAGGCTTCGCCTTGGCGTCGCTCGCATTCGTCTTTTTTTACGGATTGAGGGCGGTTTCTTTTCACAATGTGGATCTCGCATCAGCGCCGCGCGCATTCGTCTCAAACGTGTTCCAGTGTTTCACGAATTGAGGGCGGCTCATTTTCAAAACTTGGTTCTCGCTTAGCGCTGATCGTATTCGTCGTACAAGTGTGCAACCTGTTCACGGATGGAGGGCGGGCCATTTTTGAAGTGTGGTTCTCGCTGTAGCACCGCGCGCATGTGTTTGCTTTTAAAAGGTTGCAGATCTTTCATGGGTGGAGGGCGGTTCCCTTTCAACATGTGGTTCTCCCTCTAGCGCCGCGCACACTCGCAAGGCAATATTTTCACGGATGGAGGGCGGTTCTTTTTGAAAGTGTGGTTTTCGTTGTAGCGTCGCGCACATTCGTTTCAATTGTTTTCACGACCAACGCCCCACACATCGGAACGATGTAGGGTAGTCAGGGCGCAACAGTTACGTCGATTCGCGGAGATGAAGTCCCAAGACCGGTGTTTTGGCACGACTCAGGGTCTCCAAGACGCAACAGTCAGGTTGATTCAGGAGGTTGACGTCCCAGGAATGGTGCTCTGGCGCCGTTCAAAACTTTACAATGGTCGTCTTGCAGCTGGGCACTTTCCTTAGTGGAAATGGAATCCTTGTATGGGGCCTATGTTGACGGCATGTCGACGGAGGGTTTATTGCAACATCGTTGATGGGCCTTGGGTTTGCGCTGGTCCGTTTCCTCTACCACCTCCTCCTCCTCCTCCTCCATCCTGCTCCTCCATCCTCCTCCTCCTCCTCCATCCTCTGTCCTCCTCCGTCCTCCGTCCTTTTGTCTCCGATCAGGTGGACGGCAAGACCCTCAGCCTGGGCGTGCTGGCCGCCATGCAGAACGCCCGCCCCTCGGCCGCCCGCGCGCGGCGGCGTCTGGAGCCCTCCTTGCCCGCCGCCCTCTGCTCCGGCCGCTGCGTGGCGGCCCCTCCTTGCTGCTGCTGCTGTTGCTCATCCTCCGTCTCATCCGTCTTCTCCGTCTCCTCCTCCACGGAGGAGTGGATGGGGGGAGAGGAGGAGGAAGGACGAGGAGTGAGGACAGGGGGGCAGGGGGGCATGGGGGAGGAAAGGGATAAACTACTTAGGACACGCGAGGAGGACATAATGCAAACAGGACAAATTAACATTGGGAAGGGGACGGCGACGACGACGACGCTGCTGCTGCCGCTGATGCTGCTGATGCTGCTGATGCTGCTGCTGCTGCTGCCAACGACGACGACACGACGACGATGACGACGATGACGATGATACTGACGACGATGACGATGATAAGGGCGACGATGATAATGACGATACTGATGCTGATGATGATAATGAGGATGATGATGAGGATGCTGATGATGATGATGATGAGGATGCTGATGCTGATGATGATGCTGATGATGATGATGATGATGATGAGCATGATGATCATGATAATGATTGTTGATGATGGTTGATGGTGGTCATGATGATGCTGTTGATGATGATGGAGTTGGTGATGATGATGAGGAGGAGGAGGACATAATGCGACCAGGATGAAGAAAATGGGGAAGTGGACGGCGACGACGACGCTGCTGCTGCTGCTGCTGCTGCTGCCAATGACGTCGACGTCGCGACGACGACGATGACAACGACGATGAAGGTGACGCTGACGACGACGACGATGATGATGATGATGCTAATTCTGGTGATGATGCTGAGGATGAGGATGAGGATGAGGATGGGGATGATGCGGCTGATGATGATGATGGTGATTGATGCTGCTGATGATGATGATGATGATAATGATGATGATGATGATGATGATGATGATGATGATGATGATGATGATGATGATGGTGGTGGTGGTGGTGGTGGTGATGATGGTGATAATGATGATGGTGGAGGCGTGGAGTCGGAGTCGGAGGAGGAGGAGGAGGAGCAGGAGGAGGAGGAGCAGGAGGATTGTGATGATGCTGATGTTGTTGTTGATGGTGGTGATGATGCTGCTGTTGATGATGGTGAGTATGATGATGATGCTGGTGCTGCTGCTGAAGGGGTTGGTGATGGTGACGGGAATGGTTATGGTGACGAGTATGACGATTATGATGATGACGATGATGATTATGATGATGATGGTGGTGGTGGTGATGATGATGATGATGATGACGATGATGATGATGTTGATGGTGGTGGTGATGACGATGATGATGATGACGATGATGATGTTGTTGTTGATGATGATGATGATGTTGATTGTGATGGTGATGATGTCGACGATGATGAGGAGGAAGAGGAGGAGGAGGAGGAGGAAGAGGAGGATGAAGAGGAGGAGGAGGAGGCGGTGGAGGAGGAGGTGGAGGAGGTTAGTGTGGGATCGTTCTGAGCTTCTCGCCCGGTTTCGCCCGACCTGGGCGACTATGAGTACACGGGCGACCCGTGAAGAGCGCTTCAAAACTGCTGCGTCGCACGAAGCGGAGTTGGCCGCAGGCGACTCGGAGTTGGATTCTTTAGAGGAGGAGGAGGAGGAGGAGGAGGAGGAGGAGGAGGAGGAGGAGGAGGAGGAGGAGGAGGAGGAGGAGGAGGAGGAGGAGGAGGATGAGGTCATTTCCATGTTTAGTGGTTTCGCTCACACCATTTCGGCACACCTCTGCGACTTTCCAGCTGCATCCCTGGACCTCCGACGCCGCGCCTTGATCACGGCTCGGACCCCTGGAGGTCCAGATCATTTCTCCAGGACCGGCTTTTCGTTCCGTGGCCTTTTTTGACCGCCGCGGGGCCTCGTAAGGGCCCCCATTGGTTGAAAATTGCCAGACTAGAAATGGAAAAATGCCATGAACACAAACTTGTGGCGCTCCGCGCAAATTTCTCGGATCCGCGCTGGGCCACCCCGGCGGCGCCTCTGGCGGCGCTGGGGTGACCCACGCAGATCCAACGCAGATCCAAGAAATCCGCGCGGAGCGCCAAAAGTTTATGTTTGTGCTTGTTTTTTCTTTTCCTACCCCCCCCCCCCGTGTCATTCTTTCACGACGCGAGGAGGTCCCCGCATTTCTCTCCAGGGGCACCCAGAGGCGATCCGTGACGCCGGCGGGGGGTGGGTGGGGGGGCAGCGGCCTGGGGTCATTGGCGCTGTCGCTCTCAGGTCCATCGCCATCACGTTTTGTCCTGTGCCAGCGCACGAGCACCTGGTGACGTTGTCGTCGTCGTTTTCGTAGAAGTCAACGTCGTCGGTGATCGTCCACGGTGGTCGATCGTCGTCGACGGCCGTCGTCGTCGACGTCGACGTCGACGTCATCGTCGTCGTCGACGACGCAGCCCTCGGGCGGTGCCTGACCGCGGAAGCGGGCGGCGGCGGCGGCGGCAGCGGCGGCGACGCCGCCCGTGCCCGCGCGGTCCAGAACCACCGCCAGCGGCCGGGCGCCGCCCCCGGCCGCCCGGGCGGCCGCCGAGGCCCACGCGAACTCGGTGCAGATGTCGCAGAAGCAGCTGTCGGAGTTCTACGGCTCCATGGGCGTGCCCATCCCGGGCGGCGTCCTCGGTCGGGCAGACGCGGGAGGAGGAGGGGGCGAGGAGAAGCAGGAGGCAGGGGAGGTAGGGGCGAGGGGTGAGGATGGTGGCGCTGATGATGATGATGCTGATGATGATGCTGATGATGATGCTGATGATGATGCTCATGATGATGATGTTGATGATGATGCTGATGATAATGATGCTGACAATGACGATGCTGATGCTTATGTTGATGATGACGATGTTGATGATGATGATACTGATGATGATTATGATTATGATGCTCATAATGTTGTTTATGGTGATGTTGTTAATTATGGTGATGATGATGCTGATGTTGACGACTAAGTCGGATGATGATGGTGATGATCAGGATGATGACGATGACGATGATGATGATACTGATGATGATGCTTGTGCAAATGATGAGCTCGATGCTGATGATGATGGTGGTGGTGGTTGTGATTTTGATGATGATGATGATGATGGTGATAGTGGTGATGATGATGATTGTGGTGGTGGTAATGTTGGTGATGAGACGGTGGTGGTGATGCTCCTGCTGATGATGCTGATGATGATGATGATGAAGTGATGATGATGATGGTAGTGGTGGTGATGATGATAATGGTGTGGGTGGTGATTTTGATGAAGATGGTGGTTCTTGTGATGATGATGATGATGATGATGATGATGATTGTGGTGGTGGTGGAGGTGATGATGATGGTGTTGCTAATGATGATGGTGATGATGGTGGTGATTGTGATGAGGATGAAGATGAGGATGATGATGGATATGCTGATGATGATGATGATGATGATGATGATGATGATGATGATGATGATGATTATGATGATGATAATGACGACGACGCTAATGCTGATGCTGATGCTGATGCTGATGCTGATGCTGATGCGGATGATGCTACTGATGCTGCTGCTGCTGCTGCTGATGATGATGATGATGATGATGATGATGATGATGATGATGATGATGATGATGAAGATGGCGACGAGGTGAATGAGAGAAAGCAGGAGTCGGAGTCGGAGTCGGAGTCGGAGTCGGAGTCGGAGTCGGAGTCGGAGGGGGAGGAGGAAGGGGAGGAGGAGGAGGTCGTTCTTCTGCGTCCCCGTCTTCCTTTTCCGTCCTTCGTCCTCGTCCGTCTTTTGTGTGTCCCCGTCTCGAGATCTCCGTAGCCCCCTTAGGCTCAAGCCCTCCTGGCTCAAGCCTTTGGCTCAAGCCGCTGGCTCGAGCGGGCCGCAGTGGCCGCGGCCGCTGGGTAGGGGGTCGGCCCCGACCTCCTGCTTGCCAGTGGGGGCAGGGAGAGGGCCCCCCCTTTCCCTGCCCCGCCTCCCGCGCCAGGCCCGCGCTTCCTGCTGGTGGCCTGTCGGGCGCCGCCCTCTGGCGTCGGCAGTGCCTGGCCGCCGCTCTGCGGGCTGGGCCGCCCGCCCTGGGCACCAGTTCTGCCGCCGTCGCTGCCGACGCGGGCCCCCTGGCGGCGGCCAGCGCTGGCGGCGTGATGCTGCTGCCTGGCGCTGCCGCTGCTTCGGCCGGCACCTTGCAGGCGGCGGCGACGCGCGGCGGTCGCTCGGGCGCTGCCGCTGGCCCCGCGCCGCGGGCCGACCGCGGCCTGGCGGCGCCGCCAGCGGCCGGGCGCCGCTCGCCGGGCTGCTGCTGCTGCTGCTGCTGCCGCCTCGTCTGCGGCGGCCTGGGCGGCGGATGGCGTCGGCCCCGCTGCTGCTGCTGCCGGCGCCCTCGGTGCCGCGCCGGCGGCGGCGGCGGCGTCCGCGGGCTGCGCCCTTGAGCCGCCTCGACTGGGCGTTGGGCCACCCAAGGTGCACAGGGTTATTGGAGACACCCGAAGCGTGCAGGTTAGCGATTGGCGTTGCGCCGATCCTCGTGCAGTCGTCAAGTCGTCACATTCAGGGCCTGCCAGCTGGCACACTGGCAGCATCGGCAGCGCGTGACGGCTCCAGCGCGGCAGGCTCACTGCGCGAGTCCCCCCGCCCACGTGCGGTCCATCCTGGGGCTGGAGAAGAAGCTGGTGCTGCTCGCGGAGATGCTGGAGGCGGCCGGCTCGCCAGACTTGGCATTGGCTGCAGATCTGGCGCGAGTTCCCCTCCTCGTCGGAGAGACACCGCGCAGCGGCGCCATGCGCCCCCGAGCCTTTCACTCCGCCGCCCGGCGAGTCCCCCAGGCAGCTCTTCCTGGGCCCTCGCCCCCGGAGCCGGAAGAGGTTTTCAAAAACGCGCCCGCTGCAGCTCCGGGCGCAGCGAATCCGCGCGCGGCGCCCGAAGGCGCCGGCAGGGCTCTCCGAGAGCCCCTCCGCGTCGTAAGACGCGTCGCTGGAGGCGCCATCCGGGTCTTCTCACATTTGGGGCCACTTCTTCTGGCCAGACTGCTTATATTCTTATTCTGGGACTTGCCCCGAGTCTGCTCCCACTTCTGCTCGTGCTGTTTGCCCGTGGCGCCCTTGCACTTCGGCTTCCTGCGCGACGCCGGGCTCCTGGGCCGCTGCAGGGCGGGCGACGCCGGGGCAGGCGAGGTCTTGGCGCCGCCGCCCTTGCCGCCCTGCTTGTCAGAGGCCTCTGGGGCCTTCTCAGAAGCCTCTGGGAGCTTCTCAGAGGCCTCTTGAAGCTTCTCGTAGGCCTTTGGGAGCTTTCTCGAACGGCCACTGGCGGCCTCGCAGAGGCTTCTGGAGGTTTCTCAGAGGCCTCTGGGACCTTCTCCGGGGTCTCTGGGAGCTTCCTCGAACGGCCACTCGCTGCCTCGCAGAGGATTCTGGAGATTTCTCGGAGGCCTCTGGGACCTTCTCAGGGGTCCCTGGGAGCTTCCCAGAGCCTCTGGCGCCTTCTTAGAGGCGTGTGGAGGCGGGCTGCCCGGTAATAAAGTGGCCAGTTTGGTTGCAAGGAGGCCGTTTTTGTTGCAAATTCGCCTCAGAGGGCTGTTCTGGTTGGAGAGTAACAATGCGAACGAGAAAGTAAAGATTTCAAACGTTTTCTGGTTGGAAAAATCCCCTTCTGGTTGTAAAGAGTTGTTCTCGTTGAAAGAAACCAAAACTCCCCCCCCCTCGCCCGCTGCTGCCCCGCTGCCGCTCGCCCCGGCGCCCAGTCCTTCCCCCCGCTGCCTCTCGGCGGCCCGCGCCGACCCCTTTGCCTGCCGCTGCCTGGTCGCAGCTGCTGTCCCGCCGCCGCCCCGCGAGGGCCTCGCCACTTGCTTTTTCGCCGCCGCGTGCGCGGCCGCGGACTTTCGGACGGGCTGGCGCAGCGCCGCCCCGCTGACGCTGAAACGCATGTGTTTATATATAATGTATATGTATATGTTTATGTCTATGTCTATCTCTATGTATATGTACTCGTAAATGTATATTTATATGTATATACACATGTATATGTATATGTATATGTATATATATGTATATGTATATATATATATATATGTTTATGCATGTGTTTATGTATATGTATATGTATATGTACATGTATATGTATATGTATATGTATACGTATGTGTATATGTATATGTGTATGTATATGTATATGTATATGTACATGTATATGTGTATATATAAAATGTATATGTATATGAATATGTCTATGTCTATGTATATGTACATGTATATGTATATGTATATGTACGTGTATAGGTATATGTACATGTATATGTATACGTATATGTATATGTATGTATATGTATATGTATTTCTATATGTATATGTATATGTATACGTATACGTATGTGTATGTGTATATGTATATGTACATGTATATGTATATGTATGTGTATGTGTATATATATAATGTATATGTAAATGTAAATGTCTATGTCTATGTTTATGTATATGTACATGTATGTGTACATGTGTAGGTATATGTACATGCACATGTATATGTACATGTATATGTTTATGTATATGTGTGTATATGCATATGTATATGTATATGTATTTGTGTATGTATATGTATACGTATGTGTATGTGTATATGTATATGTATATGTACATGTATATGTATATGTATATGTATATGTATATGTATATGTATATATTTATGTATATTTATATGTATAGGTATATGTATATGTACATGTATATGTATAGGTATATGTATAGGTATATGTATATGCATATGTATATGTATATGCATTTGTATACGTATATGTATATCTATATGTACATGTATATGTATATGTATATGTGTATATGTATAGGTATATGTATATGTATATGTATATGTATATGTATATGTATATGTATATGTGGATGTACATGTATATGTATATGTATATGTATATGTATATGTATTTGTATATGCACATGTATATACATACGTATATGTATATGTATATGTATATGTCTATGTATATGTACACGCATATATATTTGTATATGTATTTGTATATGTTTATGTATACGTAGATGTATATATATATATATATATTTATAGGTTATACATATACTATGTGTGGGTCCTACATCGTGCGCCCATTCGGTGCCCCCCCGCAGGCCTCCAGCCCTCGCTCGGGGCCTGCTCGCCGCCCTCCTTTCCCCGCTTTTGCGGCCGCTTTTCATCGTGCAGCTGTTTGGTGCTCCCCCCCGCAGGCCTCCAGCTTTCGCTCAGGGCCTGCCTCCTTCCGCAGCCGCCGGCGTCGCCACCGCGCCGGGTGGCACTCTCACGCCCACGGGTGGGGTCTCGCTGGCTGCCTGCGCTTGGCTGGTGCCCACCGCCGCCGCCCTATTTGGGTGGGCCCTGTCACAGCGGGCTGGTTTTGCCGCCTGCTCGTGGCCTCCGGGCCGCCCCTCTCTGGCTACCTTGGGGTGCCCTGCCCCGCCGCCGCCCCCCGCCTCTTGGGGCGCCTGCCTTCTGTAGGTTTTGCCCAGGCGCTGCCTGTGGCACCCCGCTGGCCCTTGCCGTGCTTCGCCGGCCGGGCGACACTCGCTACTTTGCCTGTGTCCCCCCTATTTGCTTGGTTGTCTGGCCACCTTCCCAGCGCCGGCTGCCGGTGTCTGACCGCTGTTGCCCCCATCGCACCTCGCCGCTGTCGGCTACTGCCCAGTTGGCTCGTTGCCTCGTGGCCCGCCTTGTTCGCCCACCCGGCCCGCCGCTCCCCCACTGGGCGTGGCCTTCCCGCGTTCTCCGCCTCCGGCTGGCGTTCGCCGCCTCTTGCCGTCGCCCTTCTCCACGCCTGCGCCCTGGCTCGCCTGGGCTCGGCAGTCGCCTCTTTTGGCCTCGGCACCCGCTGTGGCTGGGTGTTTGCTCCGTGCCTCCTCGCCTCGCCACTGGCCAGGCACGCCGTGGCGTCGGCTGTCGTCCTGCCTGCGCCCTGGGCCCGCCGCTCCCCCACTTGGCGTGGCCCTGCTCCTTCTTTGCCCTGTCCTGCCGCGCCGTTGCGCACCGCCGGGCTGTCTCTCTCTTCCGCGCCTGCGCCTCGTTGGACCTCCTGGTTTCGCCTCTCCCCACCGTTGCCCGCGTTGGGGTGCTCTCCCGTCGGCTCGGGTCGATACTCTGCTTTGCTCGTCCTGCTCCCCCTACCGCCGCCTTTCCGCGGGCTGCCCGCTTGCGCTTCTGCTCTGTGCCGCTCAGTGCTGTGCGGTGCCGTCGCTTGCCATCCACCCCCCCCTGCCTGCGCCTCGCAGGCCCGCAGGCCTCGGCACTTCGGCTCATCCTTGGACCGTGCCTTGGTTCACTGGGTCGGGCTCTGCTACCGTGTGCTCTTCCATTCTCAGCTGCAGCTCAGTGCCGCTCCCCCCCCGGCTTCAGCCCCGTTTAGCTCAGTGCTGCTCAGTACCGGCGCGGGTTCCCTCTTTGCGGCGTCCCCCCCCGCCGCAGTCGGCAGCTCACTCGTGCCTCTCCGCCTGTACCGCCCGTGCGCGCCCCGTAGGCCCCCGCAGGTCTCGGCGCATTGGCCCATCCCTGGACTGTGTTCGGCTCACTGGGTCGGGCTCTGCTTCGTTGTGTTTTCCACCAGCTGCAGCTCCATGCTGCCTCCCGTCAACTTCAGCTCTGTGCAGCCCAGTGCAGCTCTGTCTTGGCGCTGCTCCACCCCTCGGCGTTCCCCCCGCCGCAGCCGGCAGCTCTGAGTGGCCCAGCTTCCTCTCTTCCTGTCGCGCCGGGGCTCTTCCTCCTTCCGTGCATCGCGGCCTCAATTTGCATACAGCGTGTCCCCTGTTGCCATCCCGCCGGAGCAGTCGCCCTCTGCCCCGCCGGCCGACGCAAAAAGTTTGTATGCGTGCGTGCGTGCGTACGTGTGTGTGTGTGTGTGTGTGTGTGTGTGTGTGTGTCTGTGTGTGTGTCTGTGTGTGTGTGTGTGTCGCGCACGCTTCGTGCACCTGTGCCTTCGACTGCTCGATCGCAGTTCGCACTTCCATCTGCTGCCCACGCTTGAGGACTCCCTGCGCCACAAGCTTCAAAAAGTGTGTCTCGCGCGGTTCATGTACGGGAGAATCCATTTTCTCCTCCATATGGTCGTCGTCGCCGTCGTCGCCGCGCGCCCCCTGCCGCCACCGCCGCCGCCGCCGTCGTCGTCGTCGTTGTCGTCGTCGTCGTCGTCGTCGTCGTCTGCTTCGTCATCGTCATTGTCGTCGTCGTCGTCATCGTCGTTGTCATCGTGTTCGTCGTTGTCGTTGTCGTCATCGTCGTCGCCGCCGCCGCCGCCACCGCTCACGCCCCCACGCCTCGAGGCGGCGCGCCCGCTTCCGCTCCAGCCCCGCCGCCGTCGTCGCCGTCGCCGTCGTCGTCGTCGCCTCCGTTGTCGTCGTTGTCGTCGACGTCATTGTTCTCGTCGTCGTCGTCCGCGCGCCCACGCCCCGAGGCGGCGCGCCCGCTCCCGCGCCGGCCCCTCCGCCGCCGTCGCTGGACTTCGACCCCATCGGGATCCGGTCGCTGGACTGAGACGCCACGCGCCGGCTCGGAGTCGAGGTCGGGGGAGGCCCCGTCGTCTCCGCGTCGTGGAAACAGTGCCGACAGCAACTCTCTGGCCAGTGTCGGCTTCCGGGGACCCTTGCTGGGCATCGGGGCCGTGAAACAATGATTCCACCTGAGAAGCTGGTCCCCAGGAAAGGGTCCAGATGTTTGGGGAGCCACGTTGTCAACAAAAGCGTGATAGTTAGCGTGGGCCCCAAACGGCGCGTTCTAGCAGACTACGTGGTGCAACCTACGTGGTGCAATGTATGCGGAGTAAGCTAGGTGATGCAACGTGTGCTGAACAATACATGTATTGCAATGTATCCGGTGCTATCCACATGGTGCACTACATGTGGTGTAAGCTATGTCGTGCAGTCTATGTGGCGTGACCAGCGTGGCGCAGTCTATGTGGTATGACATATGTGGAACAGTATGTGTGATGCAAACGATGTGGTGTCAACTATGTACTGCCATCAGTGTGGCGTCAGCTACGTAGTGCAACCCATGTGATGCAATGGAAGTGGCGTGAGCTCTGTGATGCAAGCAATGCGGTGCACTATATGTAACTACTACTAGTATTACTCCTGCTACTCCTAGCACTCCTATTACTCCTGCTGCTCCTGCTACTCCTCCTCCTCCTAC